AGTAGGGGACGTCCAAACCAACCCCCCCTCCCCCCCCCCCCCCCGCGAGCTTTAAAAAAACAAAGACCAGCTCCAGGCGCCTCTGCCCTCTTCAGGCACGCCGCCGCATCGCCCGCATCCAGGTCTGCGAAAGTGTCCCGGAACTGCGTCCTGTGCCAAAGCCACAAGAAACAAATAACAACAAGGGTCCTTAGAGGATACATCCAAGAAAGCACCTTCTAAAGGAAGGGGAGGTGGTGATCTCTCTACTTCAGCCGGCCCAAATGTATCCTAGGGACCTGGTTTTTGGGATGCGCATAATTAGATTGAGGTTGTGGGGCACTTAAAACAAAATGAGGTTATTTAAAAAAAAAAAAAATGTGTGTAGTGACTTAGCCCCTTATCTTTCTTGCATGGTTGCGGCAAATCAACTTGGTTGTGATGCCAACATTATTGATTCCCATGACTGGCTCAGCACTTTCACTTTGAACGGGAGTCTTTTAGAATCATAGAAACTGGCTCTAAAAACCTACTGTCCAGAACCATGGACATACCCGTTTTTAACATGGAAGTGCACAAAACATTAGGTGTATACAAAAACCCTTCCAAGAGAGGCCTGCGCACGTCATTTTTTGCTGGTGGAGCGGGGTCTTTTGTCGAAGTACGAAGGCAAAGTCTTTTGGCGGGTACCCGCCAACCAACTTGCATCAAGGCTCCTGGTTGTCAGGGCGTATTCGGAGCGGGCGATCCATGTCACTCGATTCCACCTCAAAATTGTTTGTTCAAACAAAATTGGTGTAGGTAAATCTTGCTTGAGTGTGTTGGGCTTAAATTGTCGATTTTGGCGCTGTGTCGCTGGTTGAAGCACCCAACTGGGAATCATTCTGCAGCACTTTCTGGATGCACAAGTCGCCACATCCAAAGAGGCATCGTGTACACTTTCTCAGCGTCAAGCTTGGCACCTTGCATGATTCACGCTTGCTGCGGCAAAAAACCCGCGGTCAAACCGGGGCGAGGAGCACCTGCCAGCCTGAGGATGCCCCACATTACTCCGAATCCTAAACGAATCTCTTCGCGCTCATCCCCACCCACCGCGGATGTCTGCACCAGTGAAGCAAGGCTAGGTGCGGCTTGCTGTGTCCCCTGAGGTGCCGCTTGCTGTTCCCGAGTCTGCTGAATGTACAGCCTCTCAGCTTGCTGTGTTATGGAAGGCGATTGTCTGACGAAAGTGGTGATCCAATGCCGTTTCAGCCGGGATGCAGTCCGATGTTGCCCTTCAGTTTCAGTTCATACTGTTCCAGCCGAGATAATTTTGGTGCGAACTTGGCCGTGGGGCATACTCGTCAATACCTTCTAAGTGGAATTGCCGTGTGTGATATCGACCATTGTTACAAGCGTTAAGCGCTGGCGTGGGGCATCCAACGCGCTTATGGCAGATGGAGGCTGGGCAAGACTGTCGTGCCAAACATGATGCCCCGGAGACTAGAACTTCATATATGACACTCACCGCATCCCACTCAGGCGCGCTTGCAGGCAATTGGGGAAACTCAGGCGGTGTGGGGATCTGATGGATCCAGATTTGTGGGTGGGAGGGTATCCCAGCACTCCACGCTTAGCTTCTATCCCTCCGCGAAGCGGGCTGCCGGCGCGTCGCTATGGGTGTCTTTGTTGAGGCTCGGTACCCGTCCCCTAAAAAAAGACTACCCAACCGAAGCCACGCTTGGCGTTTGGGGGATGCACCTTCAAAAGACTCACTCGTACGAGCAGCGCCGAAAACCCATTGACTTTTGGCTCCATCAAGATGGTTATATGTATAGATATAAGTTCTGAGGGTCAGTAGAGGCCTTACTATAACCCTTGCTAAACCATATCGGGGTCTCAGACAAAGTTCATTGGTTTCCCACCCCGAGATTCCCCATTTTGCCGGCACCCCTTCACGGAACTCCAGCCTATTGAACTCGGGGAAGTTCGCGCAGACCTTCCAGCTGGCTTTTAAACAGCAGAGGCGTGTTTCTAAGATAAATATGGCTTTGTCAAAACCCAACTCGTACCCCCAGTGAACATCCCAATCCCCACTAACATAGGTTCTAAAATGGGTGGTGCACCTATCCCAAAATGGTACCATTGGTTTTGAGCCATGGCCATATATGTCGGTACCCTGTTTGGGCTTATGTCTAAAGGGAAGCCAGAAGGAAAGCCCATATGCGAGTCCCCTGTTTGAAGACACACCAGAATGGGAGAAAAACGACATGGGCCTGTAGTGTCCCCTCGAAACCACCACTAAACAGATTTTTGTTCCAAAAAAAACAGACGCACACCCATGCGGTTCAACCAGACCAATCCCCTTCAAAGGGAAAGCCAAACCTTTCAACCCTTCAAAGGGAAAGCAAAATGAGAGACGCTGAATACCATTGGTGTTTAAACGTGTGTGTTTAGAAAGGTGGTGGGCCCAAATTTCGCAAAAAGCCTGGCTGAAGTCCCTGGTTAGGATTTATGTCCGCAAACTCATGTTTGGGAGGGTCCCTGTTGAACTGCATAGCCGATACAAAGTGGACAGTTGAATCAAAGCTCTATCAGGACTTCTGACATGTGCCCTTGACTCACCCCGCCCAAAGGAACTCATTTCGCAACTCCCCCAACCAAAGGGCAATGCTTCAAACACCAAGAGAAAATCTAGTAAGACCCCACGGAAGGAGAAAAAAAACGGAACACGCCTGAGTCGAATGAAATGGCTCAGTGGAATCCTTTGTAAATGATGGCGCCATCGGGCATCTGGGACTTTTCTCTGACCCAGATGGCTTCGATCACAGATGGATTCCGAAAGCAGATGCTGCGCCCAACATTTAGTGTCTTCTCTTCTGGGAAATGTGGAGCTTGTCCCCCGCGCGTTTTGAGTAAACCTTATAAGCTGCCTGTTAGAGTTGCCTTCTTTGTGGCATCTGAGGTCAGCCCCAAACGCACCCGACAGCTGACCGAAGGGACCCGTTCAATGAGCTCTACTGAAACAAGCAAAAGGGCTCTGCTTGCAGCAAAGGCCCCAAATCCTGAAGCCCGAAAGGTTCGGAAGGGACCCGGACAGGTTCTCCAAGGTTCTAAAGACTCGAGCAACCCCACTCTTCGGGCACTGCAAAAGCCCAGTCCTTGGCCGTGATGAGGCAGGTCGCAGATGCGCCCGGCAGAAGAAGCAAGAGCTTCATGTCCTTGGATTGGTCGACTTCATCCAATGACGAAAAGGCAAGGACGGCGTTTCCATTTTCGTCAATCACGGTGTGTTAATCCTGGGTTGATATGGTAAATAAGCAGGTTGACAAAGGCCAAGCGGGTCGTGCGTAGGGCGACACCTACTTAGGCGACTTAGTAACCACAGTTAATCAACCACATGCTAAGCAGGGTCGTCATCCTGGTAGAGTCTTACAGAAGCCAGACCCACCAAGACCCCACATTTTGTGAGGCTATGTGAAATAAAGCAAAAATACCCAGGCTTGATAAGACTTACTCCCCTGGGAATCTCCTGCGCGGTACCAAAGCGAAGCTCCAGGCAGCTAGGAACCTTTTTTGTGGGGGAACATTGCCTGAATACTAAAACCCCTACTTTTCGAGGGCTGAGATTCTAGAAATGAACGGTTCGCGGCTGAACCTTTTGAAGGGAAACGAAAGGAAACCGAAGGAGCCCTGTGGCTCGCCTCGAAACTCGGCTCGGCGACGCGAGATTCGGAGAAGCTGCGGGAAGAGACTGAGCGGGAAGCGAAGCTTGGGCCCCAAGGCTTCAAGAGCGCGAAACCGAGGCCAGGGCCAAGTGATATTTCAAGCGGAGCAGAGGGCAGTAATGGGAACCGGATGAATCAACCCGAGTTTGAGAATAGGGGGGGTGCTTTTGGGAGTGGGGAATCATCACTTGGGGAATGGGCTAAATCCGGAGTCAACATGAAAAGAGACCCCTGGACAATTCAGATGTGACCTTGTGTCTCAAAAACCCCCTTTGACAGCACCAGGCTTTCAAGAATCGAGGGTCCAAAGCCGCGCTCTGAAGCTCAAACGAATCAAGAGTTCACCTCAACACGGCTCTGCCCATATGTGCCACCCGAAAGGTCGAAATCACTTTCTTGGGGAGGGACGTATGTAACAGAAGAACGCAGCAGGAAAACCCGGGCCTCAGCCTCAAAGACCTCCCAGGTTCAACCTGCGGGGACGGAAGAGGAAGGGGAGGGGACCCAAAACACCTCGCGGAAAGATTGCTGCTGGCTCACTGCGACGAAAGCAGAGGGATTGAAACAACACGGGTTCGGCTCAATGGCTCTGAGTTGGCGGTGTCAAATTGTCAAATTGGTGGTCTTCTGAATCAGCCCCGGCGGGTTGGGAAGCCCATCTGTTCCTTCATGGGTATAACAACCCTCGAGGAGGGACGATTTTCGCTGAAAATTGTCGGAAATCATTTGGGCTAGGGGCCATTTGAGTCAAAATCAAGACCTGGTATTTAAAATGGTCCAACCAGAATCGCGAGGATCGTTTTTGGCGGCTGCCATTTATCATTCGGACCGTCCCTTAACCCGAGCATTGATTGTGGCCCGGTTTGCAAGCGCACGTCCCGGTCAAAAGCGGAAACCGACCTGCTCGTGGCCATGGACCGAGGACGGGATCTCAAAGCGGCACCCAAAAAAGCGACCAAACTTTGGGGTTCGGAGTTGTCCTCAAATCCCCTGCTAAAAAAAATCACTTTTACTGGGTTAAATGGAAACCCAACCGCAAAACCAACTAAAAAGCTCAAAAAGCTAAAACGATGGCTGGGAGCCACCAACCAAAGGGTTCATTTTGAGAAAAAACATTGACCGCAGCAAGGGCACGGCTCCCGCCTGGGCACAGTTTGCGGCCGGCCGGCGCCGTTCAGCGACTGGCTTCGCGGAATCGGATTTTCCGGTCGATGTGTTTCCCCCAACTGTTGAACTGTTGGGCTGCCAGAACTGGCTCCTCTCCAAATGGGGTGGTCTTCTTTTGAGGGCACCCCTTTTGCTTGGCCTAGGGAAACCTGAAGGAAAACCGATGCCCTTTTGGCTTTTGGGGGGGGTCCCTAAAACAAGACACACCCAACTGCCATCCGACATGGTCCTGATCGGACACATGCGAAAAGGACCACGCAGCTTCCCCCTAGTTGGTGGTTTGTTGGTGGTTCGGGGGGTAGTTTCCATTTACCCTCTACAAGAACTAGGGGTTCAAATCCAAATCCAAACCTCCAATACAAACCAACTAAGGGTTGCCCGAAGGATCATTCCCTCGGAGACCCTGCGATGGAGGAAAACAAACACGTGGGAGGTGATGACCAGGCAACAAGGTCTGCTGCCAGTGGCGCACCCAGAGTCAAAACTGGGTTCAAACCTCTTTGGCCCCGTAAGGGAGCTTGACCGCAGTCCAACTGGTTCACCGGTTTTCACGTCCATATTGCTCGGCATGAGCATGGGTGAGTCTGGAACTCATTTCATGGCGGAGTCTGTTTCGGGCAGGCAAGCAAGCAGTCAGTTTGTTGGTTTCTTGATTTTTGTCGAAAGCCGAAAGCTGTATACCCTCAGCTACCCTGGCATCTGGGGGAGCTGATACAAATATGGCACTTTGAGGGCGCCCTCCGGCCATCCGGCCCGGCCATCCGGCCCACAAAAACTTGGCTTCCAAAAAAACATGAACTAAGACCACCAAAACTGAAAACCGGCATGCCTGAGCCTTGAACCCTGCAAGGCTGTGCCACGCCAAAACCACACAAGGAAACTCTTGGAAATGCCCCAGAAAACAAAATGAGATTGTACTACAAATGACCTTGTACTACAAATGGCCGTAAAACTGTTTCTGGGGTCCAGAAACCGGTGTGGGTTCGCTTGGTGTGCATATTCTTCTTCGGAAGGGTGCCCGCCTGTTTGGAATCTGTCAAAAGTATTTGGCCTGACCCTGATGGATTGTGTGAACTAATTAACCGAAATCCAACACCAGCCACCGGAGAGGGAAACAATTCATGACTCACCGAACCCAACTGGCAGCGAAAAAAAGCATGACTCCTCTCCTCCAGGCCTCGCATCGGGTTCATGTCCAAGCAGGATACTTAGTCTATTTTGCCAAAACAAGAAAAAGGCTTTAAACACCACGAAGAAAAACAAATCTACCATCGGAAGGATGGCTTGACTGAAAACCAATTGTTTGCAGACGTTGTTTGTCTGGCCAACCGACTTTCCTGAAGAAAGGCTCATCAGACTAAGGGCCACCCGCCCCCGACTCCAAAGCCTTCTGCGTGTCAGGCACCGGTGGATCCTGGCGGTTGCTGTCCTGCCTGCCTGCTTACTTCCTTGCATTGGGGGTGGAATCAATCCCCCAACCGGAGAAAGCAAAGCTTGGCTGTATCTCTCGCAGCGGGCACTCAAGATCACTCAAGTGCTTCTCCATGCGAGTGGGACGGCGAACCTGTGAAGGGAGCCAACACTGCGATTCACACCGGTCATACATCGTGGTACCACTAGGAACAGAGCAACTATGTTCCATATTAGATTGTGATGGCGGCGTGAAAAAGGGCAGCACTTGACCAAAAAGTTTCTCGGACCTGGCACTTTGCATATGGAACTCGCATGAGAATGTGTCCAACGAGGTGCTGGCGGCTTGGCATCTGAGTTGTGAGACACCATGCCCCTCGCAGAAATCCTTGTCCTGCATGAAGGGCAAAGCGAAGCAAACCGTTCTTGTTTGGCGATTCAACAAGTTTGGCCCTGTGCTCGAGATCAGCAACGCTCGTTCATGCGCTGGCGAAAGGAATGGATTTGGGGTACACTCATCAAACCATCACTAGCAAGTGTTTCCCTAAAAGCTAAGTCAGAATTTGGAGTTGAGCTCAAACCCCATCCTTCATTGATGGCTTCCTTGTGCTTCCCGCGTTTTTTTTTTTTTGTTTACCCATAGGCTCGTTTTCCATGGGAGGAAGTCACCCGCGGCTGAGAGTGGCCCGTTGCCTCAAAACCCAAGGCCCACAGAGTCATTTCCTTTGGCATCCTCGCGATACCAAATGTGGGTATCTTTTCCAACGGACCTCAAAACAATGTGGTGTTCCTTTTGGTTTCCCTTCAAAGCCTACCTCAAAAAAAGGAAACACACCCAAATGGCACACCCAAACGCGGAAAGCGCGCCTCTGGGCTCGGTGCGCGCCAGCGGAACTGCCCTCAGCGGCAATTGAAAGCTCGGCGTGCAACTCAGAGGTTCGTAGACCAGAAACAAGGTGAGTCAATCAAAAACTGATCGGTAGTAAAATCGTCTACCCAGAACCATGTAAAGAATTCAAAAGGCAGTCGTCATCATCATCATCATCATCATCATCATCATCATCATCATCATCACAATTCATGGTATGTTAAACCAACCCCTAGCTGACTACCCCCCCTCCTGGAATTAGGGATAGCCCCTTATTAAGGCCTTATTAGGGTCTTAATAAGCCATTATTTTTATGTTAGCAGAATAAGGGCAAAATAGGGGCTACTGCTTCAACCTTTTTCGTCACCACTAGTTTGGTCGTATTTTGGGCTGAGGTCCGCTGAGGTGTGAATGTCACGGGATGATGGGTTCCGGACTCGTCTGGGTGCCAAACAAGACATAGTTTCAGAAACACACAAACTCAGTCACGACATGTGCAGCACCCGCTCCAGCCGACTTCAATCGAATCAAGCTCTCACAAACAAAAACAACAGGAGGAAATTGTTTAGCGGAGCCTTTCGTGTTGCAACAATATTTTTGTCCTTCTGTTGGCCTGCCTGAGAAATCTTCAAATGCCGTCGCCCTTATTTCGGCCTTATTTGTGCCTTATTTGGACCTTATTTTGCAAATGCCGTTGGGGGTTGCCCTTATTTGGGCCTTATTTGGACCTTATTTGGGGCTTATGTTGGCCTTATTTCAAAAATATTCAAACGCTGTGGGGAGTTGCCCTTATGTCGGCCTTATTTGGGCCTTATTTGGACCTGATTTTGGCCTTATTTTGGCCTTACTTTGGACTTGTTTCAATTCTCTTATTTGAGCCTTATGTTGGCTCGATTGCAAATGTTGAAATCAGGTGGCCGTATGGTTTGCTTTCTGTTTGACTCTAGGCAGGGTTTGGCCCTTCCTTTGACATAGTTTGTATTTTTTGTGGGGGAAAGTGAGCGTCAATCAGTGGTGAGTAGTGAGCTGGGCAGAAAATGCTCTCACCACACGCCAGCGCAATCCCAAGTATGTGCATTCTGCTACCATGTGGGGTCCCAGGGAGTGGCGTTGGGCCGCTTGAACGATGGAAAGCGTCTGCTTGGCAAGGTCCGAGTTTGGCTTGTTTTAGCCCCAGTCAAATTAACTTCCGGGGGGGGGTAGTTGGCTAGGGGGTAGCTAAACATACCATGAACAATCGATCGGTACCTAAATGGTAAACCCAAAAAGAGTTACCAAGGTGGCTGCACCCATTTCTGGCTGGAATTGTCCCTTGCCTCCAATTGCCCGGGTTTTGACTGTGACTCAGCTGCCTTCTTTTTCCATGGTCACTGGGCTAAGCCTGCATCACCCCCAACTTGAAGGCAGAGTCGAATCCCAGGGAGCCTGAGTGTGGAAGGGCTCAGCCCTGTGTTTCCACGATTTACCAATGAAACCAACCAGTCCCAACCGGAACTAGGTGTGGCCGCCGCCTTTGTAGTCCTTTGCATTGATTTGGGCGCACCGCCCATTTTGATACCGATCGGTTTTGATGGTGAGTCTGCGAGGCGCTGACCTCCAATATGAAGCAACTCTTGTAGTGTACAAAGTTTGGCCAAGAGGGTCAAGGGGAAAACGGACCCTCTTAGTACAGGCGGGCGGGTTTATC